GGGGGGGGGAGGCTTAAGATGCGAGCAATACTTCTAGTTTCAGAGGCCAGCATCGCGGACGTGTCGCATGTATCGGCCGTGTTGTAAAGGCTGGTGTTCTCCTTCTGACTCGTACGGTACAAGTAATTTGTTTCTTCTGTGCTTTAGTGAATCTGAGGAGAGTGGCTAATTCGATCGCTTGTTTCTTTTTTTTTTCTGTCAGCTGAGTGAATTTTGTTTTATGCGTTTTACCAGATTTTTTTTTTGTCTAATTTTACCCCGGACCATTTTTTTTTCTGGGTGGCATTTGCTGCACTCGCTTCTAGATGTGTATTTTCTGTCTGCTGCGCGAACTGTGAACGCATGGTAGGTACAGAAGACATACTGACTTTAATCCATAGACCACGTCTACAACTTACGCGCCGAACTGTATACCGTCGATAGTTATAGCGCGAGAACAGAACGACGACACAGAGACAAGAAGCACACGAAGGACACTTCTTGTCCCTGTGTCGTCGTTCTGTTCTCGTACTATGACTGTCGTCATGTCATACCAACTATAGCCCAAGCTGCCACACTTCTATGTATACCGACGCCCGCGTTTCTTCATGCAAGCAGGGACTGCCGATGAAGATCGAATGGTTCTGTGGAAATATTGCTTCTCTCGTTTTGTTCGAGCGCCGAAGTTAGCGTTCGCTTCCCGTCACTTGCTAATCCGAAGCCCCTTCGGTATAGTTCGGTATAGACGCGCTAGTGAACCCAACTGGGTCTTCATGCGCTACCTAGCACAAGTTTCCTCGTCTCTACGCTCGACAGCACAGCGTGTCGACTATACGACTGGCTCGTCGAGCGGAATGTTGTCCGGTTCTGTCGGTCTAGCCTTGCATCAGCCGTAAGTTCGACTAGGCTACTTGTTTTAGTGATGAACAACGCGCGTCTGAACCATTCGAGTGTGTGGGACCGACCGGACGTCCCAGATATAAGTGCTTAAAACTGCCAGGGTTGGCTTAAAATTGGCGTTTGTCTGATGTTTGTTACGCCACATCGATACGCGATATGCTTGTTCTTCTCCGTATTTATTTCGTTCGTATTTAATTATTTGTGTCGGTTACCGCCGGTAGCCGTGGTTACTGTTCAGCATGGCAGCACCCATGCATGGATGCGGAAGCGACCGCCCGCTTCGATCCGAACTTGATCTTGCTATGCACGCCCACTGCACTGACAGCAATAAATAAATAGCGAAATCAGCCAACGATTTGTTTCATCTTAGTCGGAGGATAACGCATCGGGTGCGTTTTGTCGTTATTAGCGAGATGTGATGCTTGCTTAGCCGCACCTGCTAAGCCTAGTGCGCCGAGGCAGTGCCCGGGCTGAGTCGCCAGATCAAGAACTTTGCATCTCCAAATAGAACACACTCTAAAATCTTGCATTAGGCAGTGAGTCTAGAGGTCAAAGGTTCGAGTCTCACGTGGTCATCTTTTTTTAAACCTTTCCTTTTTTTTGTCGTAGTGCTCGTATTTAGCTAATCTTACAATCCGCGCTCAAGGGAATTCGTCAAGAACAATTAAAAATCCCAATTTTGGCTCAAGTTTTTTTTTTTCGTGAGGTGTGCTGCTGCTCTCTTAGGTTGGGTAATGCTGCCCTGTTTTGAGCAGCGTTATGTTACTCTGTTGAGGGGTGTGCTTTGACCCGTTCTGGGGGAATCACTCTATACATACCCTGCCTCAAGAAGAGGTGATTTACTCTGGAGAAGAGAATGAAATATAAGACAAAAAATATTCTCCCAAAGGGAGTGAGAACACGCAACCTCGCACAGCGTACTGCGCATCGAATCCTACTTCGGTGAAAAGAAACAGAGAGAGAGAGAGAGACAGAGAGAGAGAGAGAGAGAGAGAGAGAGAGAGACGCGAAGGAACGCGTCGATAAAGAAGCAGTCATACGAGAGCCATGCACAAACAGCGTCGGAGAGAAACCGCGACCATCCGTATGTCCGATGCAATGAGTTGAACGTTTCGATTCAAGTACGTTTTCCTAAATTTAAACAATAGCACCTGTTCTTATTATTTACTACCCTGTCACCTATCTTACATCGGGAACCTCATGACATAGCATCGAGTAATGTTGAATTCCAATGGCGGAGTCGGTGCAGCCGACCGACTTCGCGAGCGAGCACTCGACTCTGGCGTAGAGCAAATCATCCAAATCCGCCATCGGAACACAACCCGCCCTGCTGAAGCAAGGCGGAAGCTGCCACGTTACCCAGGATACCTTGCGCGTGGTCTTTTCCGCTGTCTGTTTCCCACGTGGTTTACCAGCATCGCCGCATCGTTCGTTTGCTTGTTCAGCGCTATTCACCTGTGTGGAATGGATATCACGCCAAGCGTGCAACAGCTATTGTCCACGATGTCTGCTGTCGCTATCGAGTAGCAGAAGCATTGCCGCACGCTTTGCCGAAGTAGCCGAGCCGTCCATGCCGTCCGCCATTATCAACACAACTTGCGTGATGCTTGCGCGGCTGGCGCGGCGCCGCGCCCCCAAGCAGGCAAACGTGTTAAAAAAAATGCGTCACGCTGAGTTCCGGTCCACTCCACCGATTTCGGCGGATCAGTTTTTCCTGCTCCACGGAGGGGCTCCCGCTCTGAATCCCCTCCTGCTCTCTCATTGGAACTTTTGACTCTCGCTCTCACTCTGTCATTGGAACACACTTGCTCTGAAAGGAGCAGAAAAATTTGCTCCGACTCCGCCATTGGAATTCAACATAAGTCTCCTCAACACTACGTCTCGCAGTTATCAAAATTTTCGAAAGAAGTGATGTTGGGGGCCCGGTGTAGTTGCTTTTTTTTCACAGTTTTACTGTATTTTCAAACCACCGATATCAACTGGAATGAGCCTGTATGATTCGGCCAGCAGATGCCGTGAAGGCTGAGCAGACGACACAATGCGGATGAATACACGTGTAGGGGCTAATCGCGCTTCCTATTGGCTGAGGGGGCCCTCCTCCACTGTGCTGAAGGGAACTTCTGAAACCGAGTATAGGTGGCACGTGGTTGAACTTTTCCGCAAGTAGCAAATTGAAGACAGGGGGGATGAGCATGTCTTATAAGGGCGCCTATTTTCGCTGATCTGCTCGTGTGCTGAAAAGAGAGAATCTCCATTTTCTGGCAGAAACTTTCGCTTTCTCTCCACAACTGCAGCACCAGCGCTTCTGTATCTTCTTTGACACTTTTCTTTATGCTGTTTTTTTATTGCCTTGGGCTTCCGTTCTTCGTGGTCCTATGGCTAGAAAAAATTACTCTCCCAAAGAGAAAGAAAAAAAAAAATGAAACAGTCCCGTCGGCCCTCGCAGCTTTTGATGTGGCTTTGCTTCTTCTTTGACCTCTTGCGCTACGGCTTCATTGCGAGAGGTTGCTCGTTAAAAGTTTGCTGGGATATCCGCGTGGAAATGAAAACGCGCGCCGTATCCTCCGCGTTCCATCTTTTTTTTGTGTGTTCTTCGTTAATCGTCATTTTCTTGTCGGATTGTTCTTGGCTGCGCACTCGTCCTTGGGCAGTCGAAACGGCTTATTGGTCCTTTATTTCGGCTGAAAATTTCGTACCGTCTCAGTTGTTGTCCCTCCCAGAAGACCGTTAACCGAGGGTGTCGCCATTCGGCCCGGCAGCAGCCGATTTCTCGCTTCTCCCGTAACAAAGTCGCTTAGGCACGCCTTGACCGCGCTGCCCCTGACAGCCTCTTGCTATTCGAGACACTAATTGCTGAATATGCATTCGCAACTCGCTCGAGCTGCATCGACAGGAGAGGCATACGTATACAGAACTGAAATCGGCGTGCAGGATGGAAGTGTGACATATGCCTTAGATGAACAAGAATACGCTGCAAGGAAAGATTTTTACGAGCAAAAACTTAAAGGGGCCCTGAAACACTTTTTTGAGTAACCTTGGAGGTAATTCACTGGAAAAGCGTAATACTTCACAAAGTCAACGCCGCAAAAAATTTAAGAATCTGTCCAGTACGAGCGGAGTTACAAAGATTTGTCACACGCTGCAATCGCGTTCTCTCTTCTCTCGTCCCTACGAAAGCGCCTGAAGCTAAACACGGAGGGATGGGAGGGGCTAACAAAAAATATCACTCGCGCGTCGGGACCTTGAGCACATTTTTTCTTTTTTTTCCCTTTCGAATGCGCGGCTTCTTCAGTGCGATCGCGCGTGCACGCGTGGACAAGTGACGGCCTCTCGCGACGACCTCTGTAACAAGCGAGCGCGCCATGTTCAAATCAGCCAATGGCCAATAGATGGGCTTACTACGAGTAATTTTTTAGGCTTATTACGTGATTTGTCGAGAGAAGAGAAAGATATTTTTAGCTGACTTTGATAATTTATTGTGAATTCCAGGCCGCGTGCTGCGCTATAATATTCGGCACGCGTGTTGTCGGGAGCCTCTACTACCGATCGGCAGCTTTTTTTTGGCCATGCTCAAAAACTGTTGCAGGGCTCTTTCAAGAGTGAAGTATGCCTATAATGACAGTGAAGTGTGCGAGTGAGTAGGGATATAATAATAAAAACATCTCCAAGATATAAGAGTTTGAAATTATTTAGAACGCTCTTGTGCGTACTTATGAACACTTCTTGCTTCCTTGTTTGCCACAGCGTATACTCTACTGCGCATAGTACATGCGTGGGCCACAAAAGAAATGGGCGTCATTAACTATAAATGGCCGTGGGGTCATTTTCGAATAACAAATTCAAATGTAAGCAGCATTTTGCGCTCATTTTAACACGACCACACCTCATCTAATTGTTCTGACGCCATAAATTGTACAAGCTCTAGTAAGTTTTCGGTTACGCATTCTAGAGAAGTTTTTAATTCGTCGAACACATGTGGGTTGTTCCGCTTCATAGTTTTAACACATTTTAGGTCGTGTTTATTTGCTGTCAAATGCGATTTTTTAAGTGCGCTTCTTCGATTGTCAACATGCTTCGACTCTTCGAGTGACCCCGCTCACATTCCGTATTCGTTTTCGCAGATGCCCCTGAGGCTACTATGTTGCTGACGTCATCAGAAGGCTTTTGACGATGGCGTCTGTGAGATTGCTCAATTCTTCGGACCTCTACAGCTCGCCGATTCAACTGAACGGCAGCTACCACGGCGCCGGCTCCAACGAACGCTCGAGAACGCCCAAGGTAAGAAAAAGTTGCTTGTTCTTGTTCACCTATCAACTGTGGCGCATGTCCACTTTGGGGTATCGGACAAGAATTGAGCGGTTTTATAAAGTATTGCGAAGTTTTAGGATAAGGTAGAGTAAGAAATAGAGTACAGATTACCTAGGAAATTATCGTGCTTGATCTGATGTATATATGTAAAAAATTAAAAAAAATACTTTTTTTTCCAAAATAAGAGCTAATCAAACAAAGAAATACGCTTATTTTTATAGGTATATAATGTTGTAGACACGTTAGGATGAGAATACACGTTAGGATACGAATAATAACCAAACCGATTAGCTTGATTAATATAGTCTCGGAGCCGCGCATACCTTCGCATTAGAGAGCCCAGAAATAGAGGCTCTAAAAGACAAAAATTACAGGCACAGATAAACTAAAGATATTTCGAAAAGGGTTTTTGTACTGTAGCAAACCGCCTGCAGGTCGAAAATAAGTTATCTATTGTTTCCAGTTCAGCACAGAATGCGCACAGCGTAGCCTAGCTCGCGGAAGCTACTGCTTCTTTAAGGGTTTGGCAACAGGTTCTCCGCTATAGGGACATAATAAATGGCGATATTAGGTATATAGAACTTGTGTGTCTCCAAAGACTCCCATAATCGATACTGGCAGGAAGCGCACAACTTTTATTACACGAGAACACGAGAGAAGGGAACTTGCACGATATAAATATTTATTAAGTTCCATAATCGCACGCTTGCGAAATCGAGAAAGTTGCTTGCTCCACCGCCTTCTTCGTATACGCATCGTGCAAAGCAAATGTGTGTGCGCCGTTAGTGGTGCAATCGAAACGATTTCGACGCATCGCGGATGCAGTTTCGCGTGAAAACACGCTGCCATATTGTTCAGATGCGCAGATAATAATTATGGGGATCTTTGTTGCCTTTTGTAGTTACCGAAAAGCAAAGTAAACGTGCTTGTGCGTACATTAGAAACTCGAGCTCTGTAACTCAGCGTTGCAAGAAGAAACGTTCGGTGGACCTTTTTTTTTTCCCCCTAATTGTAGAACTATAGCTTTCCTTCTGAGCAGTTTGCCCTATACTAACGGCGGCAAACCACTCGCGGCAAACCACTTGCGGCAAACTCAAGTGCAGTTTTTCTTGTGCGTCCACGTTGAAGGTGTAGACTTGGCTCTCTGGATATAAATACGCTTATTAGAGAAGCCTCGAGCACGTGCAACCTCCTCTGGAACTTCGTCTCCACTCTAATGTGGAGTTCGTCTAATGTCTTTTTTTGTGTTATAATAGTTACTAGTATATGGAGTTGATAGCTCTTTGAAAGAATGTACAATTTAATATAAAGGATTTTATATCAAGTCTGAGCTACAATTAGTGTTGCAATACTACTTTTGGCTTATTGTTATGTCAAGAAGGATATGCGTGGAAAAATATGGCTCGGACACTTACTTTGTGAACAAACTTATTATACTAATGTATAGGGCGAATATGCAGCGCAGAGAAGCGCAGGGCGCGTTATGCGAAGGCTGCTGCTTCAGTCGGTGCTGGCCGCAACTTGTCATTTCGTCCTGTTTTTAACTTCTTCGCATTTATAGGATAATCGCTATAATACTGTTAAAATATATACTACAAATCACGCCCCCCGTCTTCGCGTTTTTGTTGGTTTTCGTGAACGTCCCACAGAGAGAAACGAGCCCTTTGGCCGAGCGAATGAACCCTTGTTTTCAACAGAAATAGAAGGAAAGCGAGTTGGCCCTTCAGCAATTGTATGCGCACTCGCAGTTTTCTCCGAGTGGTTTCCCTTGAAGCAGTCCTAACTGACGGCAAATGACTGACGAAGTGCGTCGTGTCTCGAAGTGCGTCGTGTCTGACAAGCGGAGCGCGGAATCTTTAACAGAGACGGACGGGGGAGACATAAGCCAGCGAAACTAGAAGTGTCGGTTAGACAGTCGTTACGAAAGTTATAATGGCGCAGACAGGAAGCGATTCTCTCGCCTGCCCGAGCCCGGCTGCGCCTTGCCCAAAGACGACGTCTGCTGTGGCGCGCGGTGTCGCGCTGTCGGGCGCCTGTTCCATTAGACCCCCTCCGTGTCTTGTGCACTCCTAGTAGTGGCGGCGTTAATGATCCTCTCTCGAGGGTCCGCGCCGGCCGCGTCGCTTTTAGGCGGCTCGCTGTACGGCACTACCGTTTCTGCTGGTTCCCCGTGCGAACATTTTGTGGTGGTCCGGGTCTTCCACGATGAGTTGTGGTCGACTGTTCTGACGTACTGTTTTTTTTTTCTTCCCGATTCGTCGCTACTTTTAAGTGGCACTCTGCACTGCGCTGCTCATACGTACTTAGAGCTGCAGCAGCATAATGGTTTATGTGGGACTGCGCTAAATGCGGCGTTTTCACTTTCGCTACTATCCACTGCCCGTGATCTCCCCAGTTCTGAAATGTGCCATAGACTCACACTTGCGCTTGCAATGCTTCTTGCAGCAGAGGCTGGCATGCACGCGCGAAATACATGGCGGGAACTTCTACGACGGGGGACCCCGAGAGCATGTACACGAAATAGTTCAAAGTGTTTTTTTTTTTTTGCCACGACTCAATCTGATGGGCCAGAATTAAAAGCGTAAAAGTGAATGGGGTGGCACAGTGCTAGCTACGCCTAGCATCACTAACTGTGCCACCTGAGGTCACAACGCCAGTTGAGCAAGGCATTGTTGGGTTTTGATGAAAAAGCTTAATTTCTCTTACATATGAATGGTCCATAACACGGAAGTGAAACGTCCTCACATAGAATCAGTTGCAGTTCTGTTGGACGTTAAAAAATCTTATTTGCCTAGTGTGTATTGCCATTGGCTCGGCATAATAGTTTTCGACGTGAATGAGCCCATGCAAGTGGCGCTGGCCCATGCTGATACCCACTGCCACATTTTCGCCCTGAATTCCGATGCTCTCACGAATCCAAGAGGCACATTTTGCGCGCATCGAATCCCCGAAAGCGAGGTGCGTCCCTCGCTGTTAGCAACGCAGTTGTGACTTCACGGCGCCGAGAAACTCTCGCAGTGCTTCTCTTTATCGCCTCCTGATGGCGGCGCCATCCACGTCAGGAGCGGTAAGCCGTGGTCTTCTAGGTTGGCACTGGCAACGCGCTCTTCCGGTGCCAACCGGGTGAGGCCATGGCCAAGTTGATTTAACGAATTCGAGCCACGTAACCGTTTTGAGTTTGCGCCGTAATAATCAGCGCAACCGGCTTTTGTGCACGGAAACACGATGCATTCGCGACGTTATCGTTCGCCTTTCGCGCGCATTTTTTTTGTGCCTATAACTTACCCCATCGCTGCTAGTTGATTAAATAGGATCCATCAACTGCGTCGGCTCCCGGTGTGGCTTAGTAGATACACCACATGGCATCGCCATTTCGATGGAAGTCGAAATGGGAAATATCTCCCGTGTACTTAGATGTAGGTGCGCATTAAAAAAAAAACACCCACGCGTACCCACGCTTGATGTTTTAATGTTGTGGATATCCCCCCCCCCCCCCTATCACAACGTTCTTCACAATGGTAAAGGTTTCGGCGTGCGATTCCCCCAAGTATGATGAATCAATTTAATATTTGCTTGATGACTAAACTGTAGCGTAGTTCACGAAAGCCGAGGTCTCCTCTTGAACGATAAAGGCCTAACCACTCGTATGCGTTACAGTGCGTGGCGTGTAGACTCGGCGCCGCACCTTCTCCCTGTGGAGGGAGAGGCCGCGCGCTTGCGACGCGCACGTGTGACCAGGCCTTAACGCGCACGTGTGGCCAGGCCTTAACGCGCACGTGTGGCCAGGCCTTAACGCGTTCGTGGCGCGCCTTTATCGCAGAATGGCCTGGAGGTGATCGAGACGAGCCATTCGGTCCGGCTGCAGCAGGAGAAGCCGCACCTGGTGAGCCTCGGCGGGGGAAGGCTCAGCACCTCCGTCACCATTCACCCGCTGCCCGAAGGTACGTGTGTGCGCGCGCCATCTACTGCTTGCCCCCGCAAGTGCCGCGTCGTCGCTGTGGAAACTTGTGGAGCACTGTTATCGGTATAGTCCTTCTATCGATCACTCTCGCCTGGTCGTAACCTTGATTTTCGTTTCCTTTAGCGAGGAGCCTCGCCCGTCCGCGGAGGTGTTGAAGTGTTTTTAGAACACTTGCGAGCGAGGGAATGGCTTGCAGTCGTGGAACGTTTATTCGACGAACATGCCGGACATTTCTACGAAATTTGGAAAGTTGATGAAATCGTCTAAAAAGAAAAAAATGTTCGCTTACTTAAGAAAAAAAAAAGAAGAGGTGAGGTGACATGTAAATGGTGGTCATCGAGCTATTATTTTCTTTTCTGGATTACGTTAAAATGTTATAAACATGCATTTCCTGTAATTTATTTTTTATTATTAGAGATAACGAGAAGGCAGGACTAATGACCCAAGTCAGATATGGCTACAAGGACAACGGCTACTGCTGTATTGCAGTGAAAAGATAAAATCATTTTGACAGTTTTTGCTGTACCAGTGCTCGAATAAGTTGTCTCGTTGGCTCTAAATAATTTTTGAAACGCTCTTCAACAGCCCACTCTATTTTTGGGCAGGCCGCTGCGTTTAAAATTCGTTGCTGGATGTTTAAAGCGGGCTTCGTGGCAGTACGGGTATTATTGCAGAGAAGAATGATTTACAGGCGTGGTACGGGTTGCAATGGTTGTCACGTAGAAGATATAACGGAAAAAAGGAAAACAAAGCAGGCCCGCTGGCCTAACTTCTGAAATAATCGTCCCATTGCGGCCGAAGCTCATTTAAACTACAGCATGCAAATTTTTTTCAACTACTAGCAGCCTGTTGTAGCACACAATATCACTTTCGCCACGCCGTTGCCACTCCTTACTGTTTTCGCATGTCCACACTACCTGTACGATAAGTACATCATAGTGTACCCAATATTGCATGCTCCTTCATTACACATAGTTTACTTTATGCTTCCGATTTTTCCTTATGACCAAAAGAATCTTTGACTGTTCCTACTTTTCCATTGTGGAATAGAGCGAAAAACAATGGGACTCAATCAACAGAAACAATAGTACTGCTAACTTTCGAGTGATGCTTTTATTGCGATAGCAACTACATGGACATTCTCGGCTGGATTTTGCCGCCGGCGTCGACGTCACTGACCGTATATGTATATGTACGTATATATTTGAAAATGCAAGAAAAAAAAACAGAAAAAAAGAATCCGGGGCGCGGTATTGGACTTGGGCCCTTTGAATCGTGAGTGCGAGGCGTTAGCCACTGTGTCACCGAGGAGCGCGTTCTTCAACGTTGAAACGGCAAGCTATTTATATCTACCACTTAGCGCTGCTGACGGGCATCTCGGGGGGAATAGTGCATTTAGAATTATGAGCAAGATGATGCAATGAGCGTGCGTCGTCACATCTCTCATGCGAACTTTGCCCCGCTTAGAGGAGGAGAGCGACGCTCTCTCTCGCGCCCTTGTCTCGCGGTGGTGAGGAGGGGAGGATCGTACGTCTTGGCTGGCCTCGGGCTTTACCTGGAACGATTCTGTTGTACTTACCGGGCGCACAAAGGTCACTGCAATCATTGCAGTCTCCGTTTGCGAAAAGCACGCGTTTTTCAGACACAGCGAAATAATAACTGAGACGCTTATTCGCGTGCATCTGTACCTGTGAGTACGTTTCACACGTCATTTGTGCGTGAGAAACGCGGGGCACGTTTCGATCTGCTTTCTATTCTGCGTGTGACCTTCCAAGTTGTTGCTATCGTGTTCATTGCTTCGCCTTTGTGGCAATGCTGTGACTTTTTGCAGGAAGAAAACATATCAACATACATTTGGTCATTCGCAATGACTGTCCAAAAGCATAAGAGTAAACTATGATTAACTTTTCACACTCAAAACCCAGAAATCGGCAAGTTACTTGTCTGAAAGAGGCAAAGGCAGGTAGCATATGCACTGATCTCCCAAGATTTTGGGTTAGTTAGTGGGGAAAGGGAATTCTGAATTATTTTTTGCTGTTGAATGGAGTCTTTGCACATGGCCAGATATATATACAGTGTGTCCCACATAACTTAAGCCAAGAATTCGAAAGTGAAAGGCACTTAGGAGGCGAATTGAACTAAACGCATACTACTCGCACTAGCCTGTAGGTACTCGGGCTATTTTTTCATTACTCCTCATACTTATAATAATTCTTAATTACCCATATTTTAATTATGGGCCGGAAACTAAAAATATGCACAGTGGGATGTAGAGCACTTTCAGAAACCACTGACTAAGTTGTTTCCTGTACGATACGTCTAGCGTCGTTATTTTTTTGACGCTGTAAATAATGCCCGCGAAATGTGAAAAGAAGCCGTGTGACGGACCGCGAGCACACTGCTATAGTGCTGCTATACGCTTTTTTTTTTTCAACGCGGAAAAAAATAACAACGGTAGACGTATCGTACAGGAAACAATTGAGTTGGTTGTTTCTGAACGTGCTTTGCAGCTCAGTGTTCATATTTTGGGTTTCCAGCCCATAATTAAAAAGACAGGTAATTAAATACTAATAATTAATTATCACGGGGAGAAATAAAAAAATAGCCTTAGTACCTACAGGCTAGTGTGAGTAGTACACGTTTGGTTCAATTTGCCACTGAAGTGTCTCATTTTCTAATTCTTGGCTCAAGTTATGTGGGACACCCGTTGTATATATGCTCTCCTTCTGAAAATAAGGCACTTAAATCTCGGCACCTGTATCATCTCTCTTGCCTGTGTTTCTGTGTTTTTTGTGCTATTACATAAGGCGGTCATACCAACTAGTTCGGATTTCTTTACTGCTGGTACTCTCCTTCCTTGTGAAATACTCGCTGAAGGTCTTAAGGGTTCATGTGATGAGGGGCATCACAATTTGGTGATGAGGTGGACGCTGGGGATGATTTTTTGTTTTTTTTTTAGGAAAGACAAGGATAGGAAGGAATGATGCTCCCATGCCACAAGACATTGTGGTCCAGGGTCCAGCTGTTGAGCTGAGCATTGTTACATCCAGAACGAATCGGGGAAGGTTACCCTACATCCCCTGGGGAACGTGATATCCATCGATGGGATGGCTGTTACTGAGCCATCGAGGTTGCATCAGGGTATGCTTTTTTTATCTTTACATGCCATGTTTTCCTCCGTCATTACCATTGCATATTGCATTTAGATAAATGTTTTCAGTTGCGTTCAACTCTGATTGATGGGTATGATGTCTGCTTTTTTTGTGTTATAATAGTGACTAGTATATGGAGTTCATAGCTCTTTGAAGGAATGTACAATTTAATATAAAGGATTTTATATTAAGGCTGAGCTACAATTAGTGTTGCAATACTACTTTTGGCTTATTGTTATGTCAAGAAGGCTATGTGTGGAAAAATATGGCTCGGACACTTACTTTGTAATAAAACTTATTATATAATAATTTGTCAAGCTGCTTATGTTGTAATTACCTGCTGCACATACACAGTGGATAAAGTTGTCTACTCTGCAAAACATCAACAGCTAGCAATGGCAAGAGGGTTCTGAAAAGGCAAAGATAAAGGAAGCCTCAGAGTAAAACAAAAGAGAGAGTAAGAAAGGGCCCTGACTTAATTGAAAAGAAGAACTGTCAGTTTGTCATTGCATCAAATTTGATCATTTTAACTTTATTATTATTTAAAAGTGGTTTCTGAGACTCCAGTTTCTTTAATCATCAACTTTTTATAACTCTTGAACATTCCCGGAACAGCATCTGTCTTCTAGTAGAATAGCCTTAATACTGCATCTTTGACTATTTTACTGAATGTATACCTCAATGGTGCCCTGCAATACTTTTTGAGCATGGTCAGAAAACGCTGCTGATTAGTAGTCGAGGCTCCTGAGAACACGCGAGCCAAATATTATAGAGCAGCACGCGACTTGGAATTCACAGTAAATTCTCAATGTCAGCTAGAAATCGCTTTCTTCACAAATGACGCTACGTGCTGAAAAATTATTGCATCACAGCCCAAGTATCATGCCATTGGCTTATTTTAGCATGCCTTGCTCGAGAGTTACTGTTGCCGTTACAAAAGGCTGCAAAGTGCGCCTTTCAGTGCCTGTGTGATCGCACTGAAAAGCGGTGCATTGGAAAAAGAGAAAGAAAAGGTGCCCACGGTTACAAGGCATGCGTCATGTACCTTCTTCACCCATGCCGTCTCTCCCTCTTTAGCCTTCAGCACTTTCGTTGGGAGGAGAGGAGAGGGAACGCAATTGTAGCGTACGAAAAAGTTTTGTCACTACGCTCGTACTAGATGGATTTTAAAATATTTTGTGGTGGTCACTTCCTGAGGCTATGAGCTCCTTTAGTGAACCTATTCCATGTCTACTTGGGAAAGTGCTGGAGGGCTCTTTTAAATTTGAATATTCAGTGCCATTTTAAAAAAGAAAATACGTAAGGAATGCCACTCCTCTTGCTTTTGTGACTATAATGTACATGAAAAAGACTAGCTTAAAAGAATTGATGGTTTTTGAACAAGTGAAAATATCTTTGTGTTTTCGAACCTTTCACTGTGCTTCTTCGGCCGTTTCATCTAGGAACTGCGCTATTGGAGAACCATAGATTTTAATATATATTAATATCATTCTTTGTGTGGATTGCACTTCCTTTTTTTGTTGTTGTTGAAAAAACATCAACAAAAACAAAACAAACAGAAGCTACCACAAAGGCAAAAGAAATTAACATTATAGTAGTGGTATTCACACTTAAGGTTTTTATACTTATCTTAGTAAATTAGGCTCTACTAGGGATGGCAGTTAGCATACAGAACATTATTAGTATGTGAGCCATAAATTTATGTTCATGAGTACCTTAATGGCTGGACTAATCATTCCACATTGGCAGTTTATTAGTGTTTCTCTGCTAATGTCATTTGTGAATGTTTATGTGGTGTATCTTCTTGGCTAAGGTAAAGTTTTGGACTCAGTGCAGATGTCCTTTTATTAAACAGTGGCTGCACATCGTGTTTACTGTGCATGCAGAAATAATATGCCTCGTGTAAAATGTTTTACCATGACCTGATCCAGCTATACCTAGTTTTGATCTTTGTGAGTTTCACACATGTGCTGGAATTTATTCATGTGCTTTGTGAGAGAGCAGTATTTTAATGTTACAAAAGTTATTCCATGTTTCTGTTCCACGTCACCGAATGAGGAAGACAACTGTGAGTATTGAGTGCAATCGCTTGCTACCACCAAAGTCTTGTAGTCTGCTAGCATTGCTTTCCATTTTTGAAAATTTATTTTGAGTGCACTGCTTTTGGTTTTTATTCATGCCTTTCCTTTTCAGTTTGCATATCACGAATCCAAGGAAACACTGTAGAACTCTTTTGTTCTTTATTTTCATTTCTTAAAACATTATGCGCATGTCATTGTTCTTGTGCAATCCCCTTTTGACATAGACATTGCAGTGTTCTTGGATGTGTTGCAATGATCTGATGCTCTCCTGTTCCAATATATGACTGGAGTGCAGCTTTGTCAAGGTGTATATATTGCAACTGAGCATTAGAAATACTCCACGTAACATTAGCACAAGTACATTTTAATGTGAATTGTTATCATTACCAGTAAGTAGCCTCAGCCTCCCAATATTAATGAAAACAGGCTGAAATGTCTTGTATTGGAAGGAGTTTTTATATGCATAGTGCTTCTGCTGTACTCTATTCTTGCGCTACATCAAATCGAGGAGTGTATGTGAGTGGTGCAGGCTATGCTGTCTGAGAACAATAGTATTGTAACTTAGATTGTGCAGCCAAATCAACAATTGCAATTACGCAATGTTATTTACTATGCTTCTGCATAGAGGAAATGAGTATAGTGAGTGTCAAGCACTGCGAGTTTTTTTTCTTTGAGGACTTGGAACATTGATGCAAGTTTGATCTCTTTACAGCGCTAGTAACAAGGAGTGAGTTTGCTTGGGAGTCACACAAGACAGCATTATGCTTGCCAGTTTAAAGCTGTCCTCTCACATTGATTTAAACTGCTTATCACACGAGCTGGAACATTGTGCTTCGTCTTCATGAGATTAGTTATGCTTTGTTGGGCTATATGGCTACTAGTATTCTTTTGAGAAATTCACCATATTAGCTTCTTTTTGCATTTTGTGGGCCTCAAGATGGTTTTGCATAAAAAGTGAACAGGCATAATTAGCTTGTTAAACAGAAAATTAAGGTGACTGGCTAACTGGAATCGGGGGCAATTTTATATGCGCCTGTAGCAGTATGTTTTTAGCTGCTGTTGTGTTTTGCTGTACAGAACAGGATTACATTGTGGCTGACATTGTAAATATAATGCAGAACCATTGCTATTTGCACTCATGGGTATATTGGTTGTGGGTTGATTCATTTTGCAGGCTGCATGATTTGCATTGGAAGGTCAAACTTTTTTCGCTTCAACCATCCGGAAGAGGCTCAGGGTCTGAAGAAAGACACTGTCTCAAATGCAAGGCTACCACCTGTGTCTAATAGCTTTCGTCCAGGTTGGTGATTCTTATTTTACATTAAATTAATTGTGCAGTGGTTTTAAGTATACACATTTTGCTTATTAGACTTAAACTATAGTAAAGAGGTTCGTGCATGTGACTACTAATTTTAGTGAGGCACCTTTCTATATTAAGCATGTAACATAAATGACTTAAACAATGCTGTTACAATTGTGTCACCTGCAATTTTACTCCAACAAACTTAAAAGTAGATATTACACAAATTACTGCCTTGGAAGGTGTGATGGCACAAACATTACACTACAAATACTGGACGAACTTACCTGTGGGAAGTAGATCTGTGGACCTGCTCACTGCCCTCATTGTCATCAAGTGTTGCTTTTCCTTCTAGGCAAAAGTTTGCCTGATAAAGCGTTTTGATATTTCAGTTAAAGGTAGAACTGAACTGGTTGAAATGTGTTTCAGATATTATATAAAAAAAGGGGGAACACTTCACATAACACAGACAAAAGGAAACTGACAGAAGGAGCACTTACAGCACGTGACAACCTTTCATTCATATTTCTTCTCTTGCACATTTTTTTCTTGTATTTCCACCTCATAACTGAGGTATTGCAGATGCCTTGCAACATTACTGTCTTGCTGGAAAGTTGTCCATATGTACATGAGAAGATGTTTAGCACAATGTTGGGCAGTTTTTGTTCAATGTGCCTTAGTTGGCACACCTCTGTACAGTGACAATTTGGCTAGAACCAAGGTTAATGAGAGTTAAATACTTGTCTTGACATGATCCTCCATATACCTGGAAGAGTTTCACCAAAATTCGGGACAGCTTCACAATACCTGGCACAGTTGACAACCTTGAAATCTTAACTAGCGTGCATATGTTTCTGAGGAAACCATGAGGCATATTTATCCACATACTGTAATAAATGCTTGGTTGGGGCTGGTTAGTGCATGGTTCTACATGAATTTGGAGATAATAGTCAAAACGGAGATGTTATGTTTGAGTTGTTGTGGTACACATTTAGCGAAATTCTGTGACTGTTCTCTTGTCCAGTTACGGAACCCCCTGGCCGTTATGTGGGCAATCCTGGAGCACCTTCTCTGGCTTCCTTTGACATAGACAACAGCGTCGATTTCGTCGAGAAGGTTTCAAAATTTGAGTTCCTTGCCCACAACCGGTCGCCACCAGTTGCCTCGTCTGAGAGTCCTCGCTGGTTTGTTCGGGACGGGATCAGGGTGTCGGCATCGCCTCCGTCACGAGTTTGTGAGCAGGTAGGTTTTTCTGCAATTTCGGGTGCGACTGGAACGTAGAGTGTTGATTACTTGTCTAACTTAATCGTCTGAGGGGAAAATCTATTTTCTTGCTGGGGCCGTCTGTGTCAGTCTTGGATGGTACAGGGAACATTGTCCACTTGTTAAGGATGAAGTTTTTTCAGCTCCATTGTATGCCTTGTAGCAACTTTCTCAGATCCATAGATCTGTTCATATACTGATCGGACTCCTGATGAGGCTGGATGAATAGACATATAACACACTGAGAAGCAGTGCCAGATTTCTCTAACTGGCATTGCTGAAAAAATAAAATTACTTTACACCAAAAATAGTCTGACATATGATCGATGATCATTAATTATTGCCAATGACGGCTTCACAATATTGAGAGACTAATTAAGAGAAATTCGCTAATTGAGAAAAATGCAATGCATTCACTTAGTTTGCACAAATTGTTCCTGTGCTTAGGATAGCTAATTTTACGAAACATGCCAGGCATTGTTTTTTAAAATGAGCCAAGCATTTAGAGAGCTACTGGTGTTTCTTATGCTTTTTGTATGTTGTGCTTTAGCTGTAGAAACAGGCAGCATTGGCATTGTAAATAACTTATTGGGTGAAGTTGGGTGCAATACAGCTTGTTTTTAATATTAAGCTACTGCTTTTATGCCTATTTGCATTTATTGTACGATGCCTGCATCAAACTGGATAACTAGCCAGAAAAAATGAAACAAAAATTGTAATTTTTAACAGATAATCTAAGCTTTGCAACTGCTTTTTGTTGATGTTTTAATAATCAAGCAGCTCGTAAAAAGCTAAAGATGTCAAATCTGTTTCATGCATGCTAAATATTATTGTTTGGTAGCTTAAGCTGGCTGTAAATACTGTAAGATCCCCAACATGTGCTCTTTACCTGAGAAAGTGCCGTTGTGTCTTTTCGGGAGATTTCAGATATGCGCTAATAACCAAGCTAGTGCCCCCTCCCTTCCCACCATTTTCTTAAAGCTGTTCTTCACTACAATATCACGCAACAATAGCTTTCATGAAGCCAAGTGTTGAGTATCTGCATATGTGCATGATTTCTTTGTACCTTTGTTGTGTGGTGCCTCAGGATTGCATTCCGAGTTATTGAAATCGTCGGAACATTCAAGGAACACCCTTACCCCTTTGTCATAACACACGAAATTTCACATGAAGATTCCCTCCAGTTCAGCAAAACAGTAACAGCATGTATGTTGAATTAAGCATTTCATTAGTAGTGCATGTATGCATATTTCAGAGCAACGCTTCCGTCGTAGTCTTAAACTTTGGCCCCCCCCCCCCAAATCTTGTTCGACAGCCTTTCACTGTAGGGGGATGCTTGCTCAAGATTTTATAATAGGTATTTTTGATGACTGGCCTTATTTCATGTTTCTTCCAATACGTGCCAATATGATTAATTTTTGTGCCTTTTTATTTGTCATGGGAAGCCATTGCTAACTAGCAACACTTGCGTTGTTTGACCTCCACGTGGCTACACAGTCACCTTCCCTGCGGGGCCCTTCGAGCAAGCCAGCCCCTCGCTTCACCCCAACACCTCCGTTATCCTCATCACCCAAGTCACCCAAGTCGCCACGGGTGAGCGCGTTGTCTGGCCGGGCGAGCCCCCTGGTGGCCGGTGGCCGCTGCACCCCCACGTCTCCACGCCTGGGCCATCGAGTGGCCAGCCACGAGGACATACGGGCCTGCGAGGTAGAGTTGGCTCAACAGCACCGCAGGGTAAGTGTCGAGCAGCAGCAATACTTTACGTTTGGTAAACCTGTGCCCTTCAATGGGGCCAGGCAATGGCATCTCATTGTGACTTGGAATGCAATCTTGTTCACGTTCTGTGGTGTATAATGTTCTATCATGCTGCACAGGGTAGGTTGACGCTTGCTTGCCGGTCAGAGTTTAGAACAGGTACCAGTAAAGGCAGTGCTGTCAATCGTTTTGTTGTCTGCCAAGGCAAAGAACTAATAAGAAGGTCTTTATGATGCTACATTCCTGCCTGTTGCACATCTTTGTTTATTTTCTGCTTCTTTTCCCAGCTGGTGTAAGATAAGTAGGAATTGTCTGGGCAAGGAGTTGCACTGTTCCTGTGCCATCACACTTGCTAGTGCTTTTACAACAGCAAAGCATGACTGCTTATTTTTTAGTATAATTTTTAAATATTTAAGTATTTTTTGCTTGTCAAAACATCAGAAATAAAAATTTGAAGGCAGGAAATATGGATGATACATTTGGAAGGATTTCAATTCCCACATTTTGGTGTGAGAGAATGACGACAATGCTTTGCTGCTGCATGGCTGCAGGCAAATCGAACACATCTAATTAGTTTTCTCAATGACTAAAGCTGTTTTGAAGAGCTTCTAATTTGTCTTTTAGTATCTCTTGGGTTTACATCAATTTGCTGGTTTTTAATTATGATCCCACCATGCTGAGAAATTCTGAATGTTGTGCTCTGTCCTCCTTATTTTGCGCGTTCATGTTGCAGGCAGTAGCTGAGCGCTTGCGAGACCAGGAGCAGGAGCGCCAGGAGCGCCAGCGCCTCGAGGAGATCCTCTCGCTCTGTGCCGAGTACGAGCGCAAAGTGCATGCCTCAGGAGCTAAGGACAAGAAGCTGCAGAGAAGCCCCCCCTCCTCAGACTCCGGTACCGAGGATGTCACCTCGCCACCGGGCTCTGGAAGCGAGTCTTCTTCAGCTCCCGACGACACCAGCAAGACGTCCGAGTCCTCCAGCGGGAGTGGCGTCTCGGCCGAAGACGACAAACCGGGGCTACAGCGCAACGACACGGTCATTCGTCGGCCTGGCGGCAAGCAGCTGCCGGAGCGCCCCGATGTCGTCAAGCCTGTCCCGGTTCTGGCTGCAAGGCCGGTTCCCGCCCCTCGGTCTCAGAGTAGCTTGTCGGAAGTAATGCCAAGGTCGCCGGAGAGCGAAGTGCCGCCTCCACCACCTCCTCCACCTGCAGAAGAAGTGGTGCACAGAGGGAGCAAGGGCGATTTCTGTGACTGGCGCGTCTCCTCCAGGGACCGGCACTGGTCCATCACCAAAACCGTATCAAGACCAACGGCTCTCTAGCCCCCACAGAAGCGGACAGCAAGAGGGTCAACCGCATGCTGGTGGACGGCAATGTCTTGTCGGATGGGGTGCTTTCCGTGGCCCCCAAAAAAGTGAATGTCACCTCATCAGAGGATGAACTGACAAACATCCTTGGTGGAGGAGGTAAGGTACTTGAAGTGCTGGAATGCATAAGATATGAACCACAAGGTTTAGGTGTAATCAAGGTGAAGGGCAGGTTAAGGTGGAATAGCTAGGGTAAGGGCCATTTGGTTGTGCATAGTGTAAACGTTTTCCCATGCTATGTAGAAACAAAAACAAAGTAGACAAAGAATGAACCATACAAGAGAACTCAAGCACAAACTGACAACATCTAATTTTTACGGAATTATGACAGTATGTACAATCAAAGAAAGGAGTTGTGAAAAAAACACCAACAGAAGGAAACACTCGCACATATGCAAGAACTACATCAAAAGAAGGGTGCATCCTTAATCCAGCGCCCAATGTATCTTGGGGTCTGTTAGTTTCCTTGCCTTGAAGCAATGACACTTCCAGTTCTGTGATAGTGAATGAGCGCTAACACAGCTGTCAATGTCAGCGTGGTGCATTGCGGAGGCTTTGATAGTTCCTCTTTTGTTTGAGTTATGACATCGTTATGATATTATGACTGGTAGTTATGGCAACCGGATAGTGCGTCAACACTCGGCTGCATGAGCACAACTATAATTGCGAGCAAAATAATCACCCTGAGAACATCTCTACTCATGATGCAGCTGTCAGTCTTAGTTGGTCTCAACTGTGAATGTTGTGAGGATAGCTTGAACTGGCGGCAAAATGAACATGCTGACAGGACAAAGCAAGGTCATTTAGACACCCTGTTTACGCAAATGTAAAAGGTCAATAATGTCAGATATTATTGTTGTTATTGTTATTATTACGTTGCAGGACCCTTCTTATGTGCTGTTGTGCCATTGCTATTTCCACTTTCAAATGCTTGTGTCCTGGTATGCTTCAGGGCCGAGGGTTCTGACCAACCATGCAGGCTCTGCCTTGTCAAGCCCGCGATCCGATCGTACCACCCTGGCTGGTGAGAAGACGCCCGTGCCTGCAGCTGGCCTATCCACAGAGCCCACGCACCCGAATTCGCACCGTGGCGACGCTGGAACGTTCGCCCGAAGTCTTTGAGAATCCTCTCGCCTGGAAAGAGCTGGCTTCAGCTCATGGCGGGAAGGCCCTGACGCCTCCCGCCACCACAGGACCTCCGATCCTGGATGACATACCTGTGCTCAAGGACTTGCCACAACAACACTCACTCCCGAGGAAGCTGCCAGAGCGGGGGGGTTCCCTCAACATCCGCAAGGCTGTGGAAGAGTCCAGAGTTCCACTTCGGAGGGTGTGGTCACTTATCACGGAAGCCATAGCTGATAGATTGCCGTACTCATGCAAATCACTCAACTTGTAGCTCGTATAAACTAAAAATTTAAAGTTGTAAGCATAAAAAATATTTTTAGGGGGGTATGCAGATATTCAAAATCTGAAATCTGAGTAAAGTAGCTTTTTTATTCTAAAAAGAACTTCCCACTCAAGCTCATTGGTAACTTCTTTAGGTAAAATAGCAATAACGATTGTTTGTGCATGGGTGCCAAGTTGTGCTGCGATTACATTAGAGAGAATTGTCCTTGCTGTTAAATTTGTATTCTGTTTAGAATTCACTATTTAATGTTATTGAATGTTTCTTTGAGTATCCTAGGGAGCAAGAATAGTTCTTGCTCTCTAGTTTACAGAAAGAAATACTGATGCAGATGGGGACCTGCTTGAATTATTTTTGGACAGTAGGAATGCAGTTGCCGAGCATGGTTTATTTATTGTGTAGACAGGTTCAGCTAACTTACACCACCAAAAATAGGAAACAACGTAGATCCACATGGGAACAGTTAAGCGAAAAATTGGAGTGGCTATTAAACTTTATTTGCTTAATGTTGTAGATTTGCTGACTACAGGTGACTGGATTCTCCCGTTTTTTTTCCGTTGGGCACGTTCATGATTGTGTTTGATGGTTACAGGGTTGTCCTCCTTGCATTATTTGCTGGTGTGCATACCATATTTTGTTGACAGTGTCATGCTTTTATTGACAGTACCATGGATATTCATGGGAGCAGAACTTTAGTTGCCGTGCATGTTTCTCACAAGAAAGTAATGTTAACGAGGTGTGTGTGTTGTTAAGAATAGTAAAGTTCATGTTCTTGTTAAACTGTGTCTGCCTTTGTTTCCGAAATTTTGCAGGTAAGGTCAAGCTCTGATGACATCGGTCTGTTAAAGAGGCAGCGTGAGGACTCGTTCCAACAAATAGCAAAGCTCAAGAAGGACTTGTTTGCTCTAGAAGCACGGTCTAATGAAGGGATGAGAGGAGGTAAATATTTTCTCTTCTTCACTTTAATATCGACTATAATTCCACCGCTTATTCAATCATTGGCACGAGGTATATTCGAGGTATCTTCAAGGTACTTACGAAGTTCAATTGTTGCTACGAGTTATGTTTCTACGAGACGCTTCATCTCTTGAAGTATGAGTGCCAGGATGTAGAACATAAAATATGTAACAATAATCATGCAAGATGGCCCCGTACAAAAGTGAAAGTGACATGCTGTATCCCATAAAGACCCCATTGGATATTTGGAAGAAAGGTAGCGTATGAGTGGTGCTTTGGCTCCTCCTAAAGTTCACCAGTAATGCCGGGTTGTGTTGTACTAGTTGGGATTTGCCATTATAAGAATGGTAATGTGCAATATGATGGCAGTAAACTTTAGAATGTTCTAAATTTAATATGTAGTGCCTGAGCAGAGCAACTGCAGGCAACCTTTGCCTTTTAGATCACCCTTGAAGCAAACACACCTCCTCTTTGAAAATGAAAAATCATTTGCTGCTCTTCTGCATCGAAGAAGTCCAACAAAATGGCTGACGCAGAGCCTATAATGGCAAATCAGCAGTTTCCTGCTCTCTGCATTTGGTCTGTGTCACCAGAGTGCACACAAAATAATTAAGGCTTGGCATTTTATGGTGTGCCTTCACCACTCTAATTTTTCCTGCGCAGCTATATACTGATTGTGCCAGAATCAATGCTGCTAGCACTGCTGACTCCCACTTATTTATCACCTATGACACAGATTTGCCTTTGCCATAAAAGGCACAGTAATTTTAAAACACAACAGCATTGTCTCAAAGAAAGAAATAAATCCGTGGAACGCAAGAGTGTAGCCAAGAATCTCACTTTCACTGAGCTCAATACCTTGGTGGCCCGGTGCGAGATGTATCTACCAGATACTATTACCCTATTCATAGTTGGCTGCTTTAGCTAGGGACAAATGAAGTCTAAACCATTCTTCCCCATTATGCCTAGGTAAATACACGTCTTGAGACAGTGCCAGCCCTCAAATCGTTTCTCTCGCAACTGCTTTTCGTCGCCCATGTGCATGAACGTTGGAAAATATGAAAAAGCAGCACTTGTGTGCTTAGGCATGCTTTAACCTAGCTTCGCTGCATCCTGCCTGTGGGTGTGTGTAAAGGGCACAGCTTCAAGAAATATGCGTGTTTCGAAAGTTGGTATGCAGTTTGCTTCAAAACTACCAGTCAAGAGCTTGGAAGTTTTGAAGTTTCAAAAATAATCGCTTTGTGGGTGACCACCTACTTGAAAGCACCAACGAAGGGGAGCCTGTCAAAGGATAGGGGAACATGCAACAATGAAGTTGATTGGATAATGTTGTTCTTATATCTGACTGCAAGGGGTCGCGTTATCTTGAGGAGCATTCCAATTGCAGGTGGAGGAATCAGCTGAGTATCTGGAAGCATCTCTTTCAAGTGTGGAGCACTTCAGGGGGCTGGGTTGTTCTGCGCTGTCATGCGCTGTCGGCGCTGCTTGGCGTAATGCTCCATGTGTAGAATATTGAGTGCACGCTTGCATCAAGGAGGAGTCTTCTTCTTCTTGTTCTTCACGTGCCTTGATGGTGATAAACTATAGTCACCAGCAGCAAAAAAAAAAAAAAAACAACAACAACAAGGTGTAATGGAGTCAAGCCACATATAAAAATGGAAAAAGAGAGGAAGCAAGCCTGAATTAGAAATGAAGGGAAAGGGGAAATGTGAAAACAAAATAGAAAGAGCAAAAAAGCAAGAGAAATAGATGAAGAGAGAGGACGAAATAAATAGAAATAAAGGGAAACGAAAATAAAGGACACAAAAAATTTGGAAAACAAAAAAAAGAAAAAGAGGAGGAAACAAAGAAGGCTGCCCATCTCTGAGCTTTCTTGAGGCCTGGCACACCTAGTGCCGAGCGGCCTTAGTTTTCTTTTCCTAGTCTGGCGGGCCATGAAAAAAAATCCAACAATGATGATGTGGGCCTTACTCGTATGAATATGGTGTAGTACCCATTAACAGGGCACTCTGCTCAGGCGAGAGCAAGCCAGGGAATCGAAGTAGAAAAGAAACCAAATTTTCGCTGTGTTAAAAATATTTTGTTGTTCCAAATGTTGCCTACAGTTATTGTTCGTTTTTCTTGAGCACCTATTCAAGTTCGCTTGCACATGGCACTTCGCAGTTGGAACTGGAACATGCGCTGCTAACGGGTGAGCTGACCGATGCGCAAGCTTGTCAGAAGTCAGACTTCGCAATCTTAGAAGAGATCCAGGAGGAAGAGAGACGGCTCAGTCAGCAGGCAGAGTTGGATCGTGAACAGGTATGCTCGAGATTTAAGTCCCAAAAGCATATGAGCTCTCTTGGCTCATTGCTGGCTGAAGCTGGAAAACCAATTTAAAGATCCTGTTTAATTTTCTGCACATTCATATGACTTCTTGCAATTGGCACCTTTCTATGCATGTATATGTTGTATGTTATTAACAAAAAGCTGTGGCATATAATGTTACCTTTTCAGTGAACAAGTCGCCACATTTTTTTGTCGATTAATGCTCAAAGTGCTCACTGATTGAAACACATCAATTTAGGGCTAAGTAATGTACACACCTTCATTTTCACTGAGTTCAGACTGTGTCCCATCAGCGTAGTTTTGACTTAAATACTTACAATGGAGCCAATATTACAGTTAACGGCCAAATTCACAGCAACTTGACGTGGTTAATTCAAACCATTCTGCATCCCAGCAGTTGTACTGAATATTTTGATGTTGCATTTCATTGCGTGATCACTTTCAACAAAGTTCTGTTGACTTGCAATTAGTGTTTGAAAATGGGTGCCTTCATTCCATTCCAATTTCATTCCGAGAAATTAGGCAGAACTTGTTGCACTTTTATTCTTTTCAATTCCTCGGAATGAAAACACTTAGCCCATTCCCACTCCGAGAATGTCTGGACATTTCAATTTTGTTACTTTAATTACTCAATGTAGGAAAGGCGTCATTATAGTTTTATCGAGTTATTAATAAGTGCCCTGTAAAGCTAATATTATCAGATGCATTAAAAACTGCAAAAGTACGCCAAACACGTTACCGGGCCGAGGGACAAAAACTTTCTATGTTTGCCTGTGCACAGGTATGCAATGTTTTCCTTGTTGCAAGGGTTATTTACATGTGTCAAGGAAACACTGCATCGTGAGATAAAGATCATGCTGTGCATAAAGTATTTTCAATTTCCGTGTGGGGGAATCAATGGAAGCCAATTTGCAGGGATAATTAATCTTAACCCGGGACCAAACTTCGTAGCAACACAGACTACATAAGGACGGAATTGTAGTAGGCGCATTGCTTATAAATGTACTGTGCTTGTAAACAGCCAAGCCATTTTAAAAATTCTGCTTTATTGTTGAATTTGAGGCTCTCACTTACGAATGCTTAAAGTTTGAAAAAACAGCGTGTAGACGAAAACGTACTCTTTTCTGAAAAAGACAATTTTATTCTCTTCCCATTACATTGCATGCAAAAGCTGCTTAATTCTGTTCCAATTCTATTCTTCCTAGTGTTGTCCCCATTCCATTCCCATTTCCATTCCCATTCCATTCCTATTCCATTCCCATTACATTTCGGGGTCACGAAAATGTGGAACGATTTCAGAGTCATTCCTGTTCGGAACTGCCAACTCCGTTACACTGCTTACTACACAGTAGACTCGTTAAACGGGGCCTGAAAGGACCAGAAAAATGTGTCCCGTTAAACAGGAGTTCCGTTTGCTGAGCGATGAACAAAGGCGGAAAATCTAAGTATGAAACCAATCGTGCCGGTGGCAATTTTTCCATTTAGGCAGCAGTTTTGTTTATATTACAGATTTTCGTTTTCTGAGAGTCTATTATATTGATAACCAGTAAGCCTTCTAGAATTACTTTTTCTGTTGATGTAGAGCACCTTTAGTAGTAGTTGCTGTCTTGGATTTGTTGAACACATCAAAAGAATTGAGCACATCTTACGTATCTGGTGCCTTAAAACGGATATGCGTATCTACCAACTTTCCTGATTTGTTCAAGAAATTTCTGAATTTCGACCTATCTTTGTGATTGTACAGGCATGTCCTTAAGTTTCCCATATGAAACAGCCCTACCCTCACCATAAAAAGTAATTAATAATGAACCCCCCCCCCCCCCCCCCCTCCTCTACCGCTTGGTCTACGAACTTCATCAGAAAGAGTTAGTGATTGAATCAAATTAGACTAAGAGGTATTTTTCACCATACTTACTTAATTCCTTTCTAGCAAGTTTTAGTTGCGACGTTTTTGTATAAAAAAAGAAATGCATTATGAGCATCTGTGCTAATCTCTTAAGTGCTCTTGTAACATTAGAAACGGCCACCCGAGGATCCATTTCTTTCCCACTGTAAGCTGCTTTCCTGGATACAACACTCCTATTCCATCCGAGATGGCAGATTATTGATATTTAATTTTGACCCCAGCTTCAGCATCGACCGCAGGCTTGCATTGCAGTTCTGCTGCTTGTGTTAGCACTTCGCAACATCGTGCTGGTATAAGAGCCCAATGCTGCCTATTCCTCAGATGTGTCCCGACGTTTATGCTCTGGAATTCGATGTGATGACGACGTTTAATGAAGCGCGTTACTGTGAGTCTCAGATGCAGTAATGACAGGCGGTTGCAGGAGCAGTTGCAGCTGGAGGTGTCACGCGGCCGCATCGAGCAGTGGGAGCAGCTCACCCAGGAGCTGCGCGAGGTGCTCGAGGAGGCCGGGTCCCTGTCCCGTCGGCCTGAGCTGGAGGAGCGCTACCGGCGTGAGCTCGAGGGGCTTGATGGGGAAAGGAGGGCCTTCGAGGACCTCGAGTTCCGCCAGCTCGAGCGGCAGGCGCGCCGTGAGGAAGAGCGCGAGGCCCTTGTGGCACGCGCCGACCGCGTTCGCCAAAACCTGCGTGACCGGCAGGTGAGGCTTGCTGCAACACAGGCATGCTGCGTTATGGCATGGCACGGATGTCTAGAAGCAGGAAAGGGCCGAACACATAGACTTGCGGTGGTGTACTAGTAGTATTTATGATGCTCGACCGCCAACCTGGAGGTCACAGTATCAAATCCGAGCTATGGTGGTGGCATTTCACTGGAAGCAGAATGCTAGAGGCCTCTGTCTCCTAAGTAGTTGCATGTTGCACAACCCCAAGTGCTCGAAATTTCTGGAGCCCTCTACTACCCCATCTCACGTAATCATATTGGGGTTTTGGGATGTAAAGCCCCAATAATTAATAGTGTTTGCTTTGAGATTGCCACAATTTGGTCGTGGGAAATTTTCCTGGCTAGATAGTTGGAGTTCGAGTAGCTGATCCTCGCACAAAGATGCTGCTCCAATATTTGGCAGCTTGCTTTGTTATGCGATTTCATATTTGGCTTCATAATGAAACAGCTCTTCCCATGTTTTTAGTTATGACAGTTGTGGATGATTGCCTCGACTGGGTCATAGTCCTTGCAAGTGAGAGTGTCAAAGGCATAATGTTGAAAATATGCTTCAAGATATGGTCATTCTTGTCCCTTCCATTCCTGTGGTGTTGACTTCACAACAGTGTGCGAGCATACTTTCTCTTAGCATGGGTTGAAAAAAATTTTTTTGCTGCTGCCAGTCAACCTTATTGCTTTTCAAACATGTGTGGACCTACCTCCATGTAATTACTTCATGTTTGTGTGGCTTATACTCAACTGTTGCTGGGTCTCTCTGGCAAAATTAATCATTGCGGAAGAACAGCACAGACACTGGCTCAAAGAACACACGATCTCGTTGTCTGTGATGTTCTGCCAATGTCCACGAATTACCTAGCCAACTTAACTACAAGCCTTGTAAAATTGACGGCTAGCATTAAGGTTGGGTCCTACTGCTTATGCTCTCCTTCGCACTTATTTTAAGAATGTGAGTCTTCAGTGACATTTGAAACCATTGAAGACGCTTGGTTCTTGTGGCTCAGCCGAGAAAATCATAGTTGAAGTTTTATGAACCAGATTTGGGCTGTAAGCTATCGTGGCGTCTTGGCAGGTCTCATAGTGGTAGGGCTTGTGCAGTGTAGAGTGCAGAGCCCTGCATTTTACCAGAACTTTGCTAGGCAGAGACTGGCTCCACAAAAACTATTGTGAGTGAAATTGAGACGAAAAAAAAACACACACAGGTGACGCAAATTTTGTCATTTTCACGGAGGCTCTCTGCCACAATATAGGAGAGAGCAGAAGGAACATTGTTTGCATGCTCTGATCAAAGCTGTGGGCGAGTGCAAAACAGGCTCTGAGCAATATATTATGTATTGCTACGTGCACCACTTCTTGCCTAGTGCATTGTCATATACGTTCAGTGAGATGGGTTCAGAGCATTGTTGTTTCTTAAAAATCTAGTAGTGTTGTTTGCAAATGTAATACCCATCAAGAGTTAAGTATAGCACTAGGGCAGTGACATTAATGGATTGAGCAGGGTGTTGAGGATTTCATAACCTGTAAGCTGTCACGCAATGTATCCAATCACACCTTGTCTCCGCTTTTTTTTTTTCAAGCAACGTCAGATGTTACTGGTGCATCACATTCTGTTCGTAATGCATGTGTTGCTGGCTCGTTGAGAACTTATACTTGTACTGCATCCCAACTTGTTTATCGGATGTTTCTCTTTTTTCTTTCTTTCCACAGTTGAGAATTCGGGAGCTCTTGGAGCAGCAGAAGACAGTGCAGATGCAAATCGAACAGGAACAGTCCAGTTCTGAGATTGAGAAAAAGCTTGTGCAAACTCAGCTGCAGCAGGTAATTTCTTTGTTAGGAGTCTTTCTTTCTGAGGGTCACGGGGTGATTGCGGAGGACAGCTGTGCAGGTGTAATTTTTAATTAATACACACAATATTGACATTTTACGACAAGAAAATGAAATAATTTACCATTTTACAGGGGGCATAATTCACAACTTTGTATAAGGCGTACCATCCGACGTTTTGCATCACTTTCTGAGGGAAAAAAAGGAGGGATCTACTGTCATCGACTGACAATTCATGTGTGAAGGGGACTGCTACGAATGCCTGAAATACCAAAATTGACAGAAAATACATGAATGGCTTTCATAAATGATCGAAAAAAAGTAAAAATGGGCCATATTGTTGGGCTGCCCCTTTATGTTACATTTTACTTATTGCAGAATTTACAGTTCACACACTAGGCCAGTGATTCTCAAATAAAAGTTTGTGGGCGCCAGTGTGTCAAAGCCATTTTTTCGCGGTCCGCGCAACCAATATTTGAAAAAAGGGGAAAAATAAAAAGATTGAAGAAGAAACTATGTCCAATAACATCAATCTCTTTTGGTTTTTAGTATGCTTTGCCGCATGGCACTTTTGCGCTGCGGCGGAGCTGAATCATGTTATTTTTTTACATAAGGTGGCGTTAAAACTTTTTTTTGCAGTTTTCTATGATATATATGCAAGTGAGCATACTTTTTCTGGGCCTGTGTATTTAAAGAACAAACATACTTAAAAATTGGTTGAATGTAGCTGTAGTCTGCACAACTTATTGAGAAGCTGTTGAGATTGAATTGGTGTAGCTTTTTGTTTGGCCAGTATTTGCCAGGGAGAAGTAAATATTGCCTATTTTACACTGCATGTAGTGTTAATTTATGATCCCACCATCCCCTCCCCTTTTATTGAAATCACTTCCACCAGTGCACGGAAGGTTCCCAAATTGTGCATGGCTGAGAACCACTACACTAAACCATGCACATGCCAACATGCCACAAGTTCATGGAAAAACCTTGCACGATTGCATCGGTCACTAAAAATGGCTTTTTGTACTTTAGCTTTATTGTGAACACTGTACCCTAAGGGGTCCTAGAATGCCACGTTCTCAAAATTTTCTTTTCTCTGTATCTGAGGAGTGTGCTGTTTTTTCCTACAGCAGTGAAAGAGGTTAACAAAAGTAAAATGGCACACTCCCTGTTTGCATGCAACAGCAAAGCTTGTACTGTGCTTCCGCATTGCTAATAGTCAAAGTGCGCAAGTAGTTCTTCCCAATATAAATCGGGCGCGTTGTATGGATGGTGTGACTTGAGCTATATGAAATAGTACGTTATGGGCCTTGCAGCCTGCAGAAGTGCTAATTGTATACCGTATTTACTCGATTCTACCGCGCCCTCGATTGTAACGCGCACCCGATTTCCACCGCGAAAAAAAAAAAAACAACGTAAGACATCTATTGCAACGCGCACCCATTTTTTCTCGCTGGCCCGCACGATCACATCATTCGAAAAAACGACTCCTTTCGGGAGCGCCTTTCATTTAAATATGAGGTACGGGCGAAGCTTGTGCCCATCTAACGTGTAACAGAGCATTGTCGTCACTGTAGTTTTACCGTGGACCGATGCCAGCACGCGAACTTCCTTCGCCCCCTTCTTCACGACGGTTGTGGTGCCAGGCATGTCGAAGAGGCGTCTGATCGGCATTCCCGATTTGCCCAAGCAGGTAGCCGTTGTTGCGCCGCAAGTTTAGAACGAACCTCTGAAAACTGTGAAGCTTTTCATCGTACTCTTCCGCAAAACTTTTCGCATATGCATGTTCCCCTTTGGAGGGAAAAGCCTTTCCTCTTCATAAAGTTAGTTAGCCAGCACCTGCTCGCTTTAAACTGGCTCCGCATTAAACTTTTTTCTAAGACTAATTGCATAGCCCGCACTTGGAGCAGTTTTGTCGTCACGGGCCGCTGTGCCGCTCGCTGCTCAAGCACATACTCGCCGAGCAGCTCTTTAATTTCCGCACACCGACCCTGCTGTGGTCCACGGAAGCCTTTGCGTGAAGCTTTGCTGTCAACAATCTTCTGCTTTTGTTTCCGCCAGTGCCGCACGCGCGTTTCAGGAACTCCGAACGACCGCGATGCGGCCCGATTTCCGCCCGTTTCTGCACACGCGATGACTTTTCTTTTAAAAGCGGCATCGTGGCGCACTCGAGTTTTTGGAGTCGGCCCTTCCACGCCGTTGATGCTAATGCACTACTAGATGACGAACTTCTCAGCACACGTACGAAGTGCCGCACATGGGAAACACATAGGCAGAAATGGCCGACGCGCCATGCCGACGCACACGGAGGAAGGAAAGGTACCGACGCACGTAGGGGGCAGCCATTTTGGATTTGCCGATGGCAATAGATTGACCGTAATTTTTTTTTGTACTCGATTCTAACGCGCATGCGATTTATGAACTCGCTTAACCGGAAAAAAGGTGCGCGTTAGATTCGAGTAGTTACGGTATGTTTCTTCTGTGATTGATTAAACATTAAACAAAAAGTGAATGGAATCAAACCCATTGTGCTCTTCTTTGCTCAGGAACAACGGAGGCTGGAACTTCTGGACCAGCAGCTGAGAAATGCTACTCGCACCCCCCAGCACATCTCTTTGGACTCGAGCGATGAGAGCAGCTCTTCTGATACAGAAATGGTAATGACATTCGTCATATCGCCAGTAGTGCGCAGTGCGATGCGGAAATAGTGAGAGCCTGTCAAGGTTATTTTTCACAAGAACATAAAAGTACCAAGTTTCTCTTCTTGGGTGAGAGCTCTATGCAGTGGCTTGATTCTTTTTTTATGTAGGATGTACTCGTCATGTAGGAAGTTATACTTTGACTGGCGGAATGATCCGTGAATCTAGTGATCAAGTTTGGGTGGTCGGACAGGCCGGAGACCTGTTGCATGGAGGTGGCGAAAACAGCTTAAATGCAAGCCTGTACGATTTCACAGCGATTGTGTCGCAGTTACATTGTGGATTTGGGGCACCACAAAACCTGCAAAATGTACCATTTGTAATGAGGGAGTGACAGTGCGAACACACACTCACAAGAGAGACAACATTGACACGCAAGTGCTGATAGACAACTTGTTGAGTTGGCTGAAAAGCTGTCAGTCAGCACGTATGTCTCTGTTGTCTTTCTTGTGAGTATGTGTAAGAGCTGTCAATTTGCACAGAAAGAAGTATTGATTAAATATTACCTGGGCTGCAAAACTGTTGCGCCTAGTGAGTGATCGCAGATGTGATAAACCTAACCCTGACACAAAGCCTTCGTAGCGTAAACTACTGCTAGGTAGGTTTGACTCACATGGACGTACAAGAACTCATGGGGTATGCAGAGGCTTTTTCCTGGAGCATCTGTATTGCCAACACCTTCAGAAAAGTGTGCAAAAAGGTGCTGCAAATGTAACTTGTGGTAGGATTGCCAAGTCAGCTTTGAGAAAGTCTGCCAAGGCAGCCGGAAGCAACCGTTGCACACAGTATCCGCGGAAGCAGCATGATAGTGAATGCTATCCGAGAGTGGTGTAGACTGATGCATATACTCTTTCTACATCGTGAATAGCTTGTGTCCAGTCAGTGCAAATGATAAGCTGATAATGTATAGCCGTGTGAAGACAGGGAAGGAGCACGGCCTGTCTGTCACATATGGCAGCGCGCTCGGCAAGATGGGCTGGTGGTGCAGGATTGGCAACATGCAGGCCTAACAACAGTGAGCACAGAATCATGTTGCCCCCGACACTGGCATCAGTGTGTGCGACGAAAAAAGTTGGCTTTTGCGAATATTCGAACGAATATTAGTGTATTCAAGTCTTCAAAATGAACGAATACGAATATACTAATGTGTATGTAACTTTTTTTGTAAAGGTGGTTTCGCTGCAATGGAAGCATGTTAAGCCGTGAAGGCACCCATCTAACTGTAAATTAGTTTTTATTGTAAAGATGATTTCACTGCAACGAAGCGGTATTAAGCCGTGAAAACATTTCTCTAGGAGAGCTCTGCGCTGCCGCGAAGCTCCTCTTCGAGGTTGAATGAATATCTGGGGTTTAACGTCCCAAGAACAAGGTATGACTATGAGCGTTGCCTTAGTGGAGCGCTCTGGAAATTTTGACCACCTGGGGTTCTTTAACCTGCATCTAAATCTAAGTACATGGGCCTCCAGCATTTTCGCCTTCACCGAAAGTGCAGCCGCCGCAGCCGGAATTCAATGCCGCGACCTTTGGGTTAGTAGTCGAGTGTCATAACTACTAGACCACCACAGCGACGCTCCTCGTTTGAATCCATCTTGGTAGGAAGCGCAGCAACTATTACTCAGAACACACAACATAAGCGCTTGTGTTGTGTGTTTTGTGTAATAGTTGCTGTGCTTCCTACCAAGATGGATTCATACCAACTGGCCCGATACAATTGTTTATTGAGTCCTCTTTTGAGTTAAATGAACATCTTACCCTCCCATAGATTCGTCATTTTTTAAGTTTAAAAGCTTGTTACACCAGCATAAGTGCTCCAAGTATAGTAAATTTTACAATGTAACATACTTTATAGGTCATCACTTGCAATCTATCGAAAGTCAAATCCTTCAACTACTCAATGTTGTTTCCACTTCTTTTGCACTAAAAAGGATGACATTTGTGCAGGCCTTGTCTTAAGTTAGAAAAAATATTTTGTAGCTCAGTGAAGTAATGACAAATATCGTTACTTTTTAAATAATAAGTGATATATAACTATGTGAATTTGATTCAAAATTATTTGACCACAATCACTATTCGCTTCCAAATAACTTTGAACCTCTAATTCACTATTTTCACAAGCCTAGAAAAAGGCATTGGTCATGTCATAAACAGGTGCATGGCATGTGCACATGCTTATCAGTTATGTTTGAAAAATCAAGCTAGACACCTTAAGGTGACTGCTAATGAACTCGCCCTGTAGATTATTGTGGCTGTGGGTTAATGTGCCTTGTGACAGTGCACCTAGAGCTACCGTGCTAAGGAGACACAAAGGCAATTAATAACTTGAGTTACATTGTTAGAGTGCCACTTGAAAACCTATATTGTCTATAGTGTAGAGAGGAAGAAGAATATGTGCTGCAGTGGGTCACGCCTTTAGCAAGAGAAGCCGAGCGCGAGCTGTTCCCCCGAGCGTTGTTTCCTGCGTCGGTTCCTGCCGCCCGCTTTCCGCATCAATAGACCTGCTGTGCAAGTACTACTTGCGCCAATAAACCCCGTTTCAGAGACCTGCGCCTGTATTACCTGCCTGATGGCGGGCGCGAGACGCTCAGAAGAGGGTTCCGTTGCCGGTAGATACGACAGGCACGAAAGTTGTCGGGCCACCTCCTCGCGCACATATTGTTTGATTTCGGACATGATTGCGCTGTGGTCTCCACCCAGGCTCAATGCCGCGAGAGTTTCAACGGTAGTTGCTGGACGCCGTGTCATGACCCGTTGTTTGCGCAACTCCTCTAAGCCCTGGCAAAGAGTGGCGAGTTCGGACACGGTACGTGGGCCCTTGGCCAGCAGCATCTGGAAGGCATCGTCGTCTATCCCCTTCAAAATATGTTTTATCTTGTCTGCCTCGATCATTGAAGGGTCAAGGCGCTTGCACAAGTCGAGCGCATCCTTGATGTAGCTTGTGAAGCCTTCTCTTTGAAGCTGGGCACGTCCCCGTAGGCGCTGTTCGGCACGAAGCTTGCGTACCTCGGGGCGACCGAACACATCGGTAATGCGTAGCTTAGAGGCACCCCAAGTGGCGAATTCCGACTGGTGGTTGTTAAACCAGAGACTCGCCACCTCTTTTAGGTAGAAGGGTACATATTGCAGCTTCAAAGGGTCGTCCCACTTGTTGCTTGCGCCTACCTTTTCAAATGTCGACAGCCAATCTTCTACGTCTTGCTCATCAGTACCGTCGAAAAAAGGTGGATCGCGCACGCGTAGCGCAGTGGGCACGATGACCATCGGAGGCTGGGTCGTACATTGCTGGGCTTCCTCTCTACAACAGCAGCAGTTTAGTAATTGAGATATGGATTAAATATATGACACTGAGTATGGCTGTAGCAAAATGTCCCAGTATATACCAGCTTGATAGTGTAGCTTCACCTCATTATGATTCTGTTGCTATTTGTCAACCGCCAATAATAAAAAGGCTATTGCAGCAGTTTGCAAGCCAGAGTAAAATGCTGAATATTCATTTCGATTTGAGTCTTGAAGCATTTCTTTGATGTTAGAATATGTGCTGCGATATTTTTAATCCCAGCGGTGATTTTCTATGAGCAACAGCCGTCAATACCAAGGGTGTGATGCAAGTGCTGGATCCGACTGTGAAATATGAAGACACATCATTACTACCATCTTGCGCTTATGTATTTTGTTAGCTTTGTTTACATGTAATGCTTTGCCGAGTTAGTGTGATCACAAAGCTCACTCCAAGTGAAAGTGAGAGGAATGCCACTTCCACGTGATGCTGTTGGGTCATTTTCCGGTCAAATTTTCGCATTTTAGGCATGTCGTAGGTAAAAAAAAAACAATTGTGCCACCTGATGGTGTTTACAAAGTCATAACCGGGCATGTGAATCTAATTGTGCTTGGGGTATGTGGACTGCTGAAACATGACTTACTTTTAAATTGAAAGCATTTCAGTGGTGCTCAACATGCACTGTCATGTTTATGGGGAGGTATTTTAACATTGTATATTGACTTATCTTTCCTTTGGGTTTCTTTTTAAGATAAAAGTTCCTTGACTTGGTTTTCTGACTGCAGTTAGTCTTAACCTGCAGAAGACTCTTTATAAAGGGAACCTGAAGGGACATGGAATATATGTTTCGTTAAACAGTTCTGTTTACTGGAGAGATGAATGGGATTGAAGCATACAGGTATGAAACCAATCATATATTAGTGGTTCTTTTAGATTTAAGCAACAATTTTGTTTAAGACATTTTCATTTACCGCTAGTCTGCGGTAGTATATAATTGAAATAATGTAAAAACTGAGGCTTCTTATCCTAAGGCACTCTGAAATAGAACAGAATGCATGCAAATTGAGCTGATAGAAATTGTTGTGAGTTGTTTGAATCCCTTTATTTCAGGGCTCTACACTGAAAATAGGGAGCCAGAGTCGTTGGAACCAGAACCTTCTGCTCCAAGTCCCGGATAGTACAGGTGAGGGCTTTGTTATCTTGTCCTTGCGTGTGAGTCACATTTTCTCGCAATATATAAATGTTGCTGAATGAAGAATTTTTTTTTTCCTAATGATATGCCTTGGTACATATAATTGATTGTTAATGATTGATTCACATATATATAATAAGTACAGATACATTGACAGTGTCTGCTTTATTATTGCATGTCAGTGCCTTTCTAAGGACAAGCTGCAGTGACGATTCTTCTGCAAGAGACAATTGTACATTCTTCACCTTGATTACAACTGCGCATGCTATGATACCTTCAACCATGGTTGTAAAGCTCATTTTGGTTTAGGTTATCCTCAGTTTTTGGACACCGCTTCCCATAGAAGTCACATAAATTGGTACCAGCTAGTGTAATAAACAATCCAGCTTTGCTTATCTGCTGCAGCTTTGAAAGGTACATTTTAAAAAGCAAGCCAAGTTTTCTTCCGTATTGTTGCTGCAGTTTTACCCTTTTAACTAATCAAACAGGGGTTAAACTGAACTACCATTATATGTAGTGCACAGCTTTGTTATTATTCACAACTTTGATACTTGACAAACAGAATTAAAGGAATTCAGTTGTTTTCATGCTAACACAGTTTCAGTGAGACTGATGATACAGTATACATAATTTGTATTCATGAAAAAATGTCTGTGCCGAGGTTATGTGGAGCCATTGAGCTAAATGTAGCTTCATGGTCCTTACAGTGAACAGGCTCAGTGGCAACGAGTCAAGCTTCACTGGCATCGAGTCAGAGTCTTCGAGCATCATCAGCAGCAGTGATCTTCCCAACGAAAGGTAATTGAACAACAAGTTCAATTGAGGGGATGTTTTATGATGGTCAGCAGTAGGCGTTCTCTCGAGGATGACACCTTTACTATGCAGTAGACTCTCAGTAAACGGAACTCCTGTTAAATGGAACATATTTTCCCGGTCCCTTCAAGTTCCGTTTACTAAGAAGCTACTGTGGGGGGGGGGGGGGGGACAAGTGCATACTTAAGGGCTAATTTTTTCTTTCGTGTTTAGACGCAATATTAATGAGATCTAACAGACAATAGTGCCAAGGAAAGTATAGGGGAAGTTATTAGGCCAATTGTAATATAAATGAGAAGAAAGAAAAGTGGGTGAAAAGATAACTTGCCGTGGGCAGGATCCAAACCTGCGACCTTCGAATAACACGTACGATGCTCTACCACTGAGCTATCACAACAGCTATTTCCCCCAGCCACTTTATTGGCTATCTATGTGAATTTAAACGTGGGAGTGTCAGTCAGCGCCACCAGTAGCCAAGGCGGCGAGTGTGGCACACTCTTTATGGCCTGGGTGGCTTCACGTAGCACGTGAACTTATTACGAGCTGGCAGCTGACCAATAGTCTCTTGTATACAACCTAAAGGCACCATGTCTGCCAGTACGAGGCTCTCGGTAATGAATAAGAGAAACAAATGTATACTTAAGGGCTCGTGTTTTTCGTGTTTAAACACAATATTAATGAGATCTAACAGGCAATAATGCCAAGGAAAGTATAGGGAAAGTTATTAGGCCAATTGTAATGTAGATCTGAAGAAAGAAAAGTGGGTGAAAAGATAACTTGCCGTGGGCAGGATCCGAACCTGCGACCTTCGAATAACGCCTTCGATGCTCTACCACTGAGCTATACATATATATATATATATATATATATATATATATATATATATATATATATATATATATATATATATATATATAGTTGAAGCAAGGAAGTAACGCTGGCCCCGGTAGAATAAGGGAAAATAGAGTACGACACACGTTGGTTTTGCATGGTATATTCTGACCGACGTTTCGGCTGGTGGACCAGCCTTTGTCAAAGTAACAAGTACATCATTTAACCATATGGTGTAGTATTAACCATATGGTGTAGTATTAACCATATGGTGTAGTAGCGCAAATTCACGGGGACGAAGAGGACAAGAAAACACGACACTCGCTTTTCTTGTCCTCTTCGTCCCCGTGAATTTGCGCTACTACACCATATGGTTAATACTACACCATATGGTTAAATGATGTCTCACCAACTAGCCCAGCTCTCAACCCTACTTAACAAGTACATGTATTGCATTTTGGGGAATGTTAAGACTTAATATGTCTTGAAGAAAATTATTGGTGTCCTTGACGAATGATGGAAATGTCTTGGGAATACGTTTAATAACGGACTCAACATAGAGCGACAAGTTCTCAGTTGTAGTGTTTATACCGGAGATGATTGGGCGGCTTGGATTACCTTGTTTATGAATCTTCGGGAGTATGTAAAATCTGCCGGCTACAGGGCTGAGCGGAATAAGTGACCGAACAATTATTTCCTCTAGTTTTTTAATCTCTTGCTAGAGTGATTAGTTTATCTTGCAAGATGGACTTAAAACTATCTGTTGGGTCGGTTGGAAGGGCTCTATAAAAACTGTGGTCAAAGAGTTGTCGGGTAGCTTCCGCTATGTAATCTTTCCTATCAAGAATGACGATTGCTCCTCCCTTATCGGCAGGTTTGATGACAATGTCAGGGTTATTGGATAGTTCTTCGAGCGCTGCTTTTTCCTTCTTTGTTAAATTTTGTCGGTAATGAACACGGGTCTTGTACGCCTCAAGGACGTCATGCTGTACAGCCCTGATGTACATATCGAGGCATTGATTACGTTGTGGTGGTGGTGTCCACCTCTTGTGCGACGGCACTGGTATTGTATTGTTATTAGAATTTTTCACGTTCATTAAAGTATTCTCTAAGGCGCATGTTACGTGCAAAGTTATCCAAATCTTTTAAAAGCTGGAATTCACTAAATCCACCTGAGGCTGGGCAAAAGTAAGACCTTTCGACAGTGCAGCACAAGAGAGAGTGATAGCCGATAGGTTTACGACATTATCGCTGAGTTCAGTGGGCATGCTTCTGACCGATGATTTAACAGGAGCATTATTCCCACAACATCTGGCTGTGCACCTTGCAACAAACCACGCTGCAAGGTTTGCCTACATATGCAAACCACCCAGGAAGCCGTTAGTACGTCGTCTAATTTCACCTTTAAAATTCGCGGCCTCTTTAATTGCGATAGCTCTAACGTCATATACATGCTCGAGTGCGCCGTCTGCCAAGAACAGTATATCGGCCATACAGAAACATCGTTCCGAATAGGCATTAACAACCATAAATCGCATACCAATACGCAACCTAACCTCTCGCTCTCAAAAACATATTCGCTTACCAGGGCACTCGTTCGAAAAAATTAGTCACTATACTTGAATCGGGCTTTCATTCTCACTACGATCGGGAAATCCGCGAATCGTACCTCATCTACAAATTCAACACTGTGTCATCAGGCATAAACGAAAGTACAGGCACGCTTTCTAGTGTGCCCACCAAGCATTATCAGCCTTAACCCATGGCCCGTAGCGTGATCGGTTAAGCTTGTTGGATACCGTCTCTAATGCTTCTGTTATTGTGTATATTTGTGTATCCAATGTTTACAGTCACTTGAGTTTATTAATCGCTGCCGCTATCGCGAATGTGGATGCGAGACTTTATTTTAACGTGCACGCACAATAAAAGCATCAACTACTCATCTTATTCATATCGCAATGACTGAGCTGTGTATATGACGTGCAATCTGACTGTAATATCACGCGGTTTTTTGATATTTTGATATCCATGTTTCATTGTTGTTTTGTCATTATCTATCTCCGGTTCTTACAGAGTTATGCTGTGTGCACAAAGAAGCAATTTCTGTTCTTTGGTGTTCTACATTTTTATATATGTATATATATTTATTTATGTTTTTGCATGATATCTAACTGTACCGTCATGAACACTTCACGCTATGAATTGTCTAATCGCTGATATACATCGCCGATCTTTATTATCCCATGTGAATCGTATTTAAAAGCAAGCGCGTTGACATCTACTTGTTACTTTGACAAAGGCTGGTCCACCAGCCGAAACGTCGGTCAGAATATACCGTGCAAAACCAACCTGCGTCATACTCAATTTTCTCTTATATATATATATATATATATATATATATATATATATATATAGTGGGAGTAATAATTCAATGGGCCAGTTAGTCTTCGTGAAGGTATGGGATATGGCACAACGGGAGCGTTGCCAACAAGGATAAATATATTTATTTCCCAACAGTTTCGGGAGGGGACCTCCCTTCATCAGGGGATGAGTTATACTGACATGAACTTCCTTGCTGCCGCGTCCCTCTCACCTTGAAAGACGTTTGCGAGAGTGAGAGGGAACTGGAAGAAGGAAAAAAAAAAGAGAAAAAAGACGAAAAAAGAAAGAAAAGAAAGAAAGTAAAAAAGAGGAAGAACCACTGTCAACACTGAGAACGAAGCCAACTGTCCGTCTACATCCACCTACGGTTCATATCACGTGCTGTTCAGTTCTTGGCGTGTGTCGGGCCACCCAAGATTGTCGCCGCGGTGCCGGGAGGGTCCGGGACGGCGTGCCTAAAGAAAGGGGTTTCCCCGTAATTGGTCGTTTGGTCGTTCGGCGGGCGGCGGGCGGTGTGTGTAAAGGAAAGGTTTCTCGTTAATGGGTCGGTCGGCTATTTACCTTTAATCTTTGTCCGTTTCCCTTCAACGGTCATGAAGTGGTAGGCGAACGTAAACACTTTGTATGTGCATGTGGAAAAAAAAAAAAGGACAGTGTACACGTACGAGTCAGTCAGAAAAAAGCATGGTCTCCAGCTATCAATCTTTGTCACCAATTTTCTCCTGGCTTACTTCTCGGAGGCAGTGGAGTTTTCCGGGGTCCTCGTTGATACCGGCTACTAATGTACGAAATTTGAAAATAAAATATGCCTCACGCTGTTCGCGCTCGCGTCTGTTTGAAAAACCGGACTGCAAAAGAGTTACGCTAATATTTTTAAAACTGTGGTTTGGCAGGCGCAGATGTCTAGATAAAGGTAGCTTCGGCAGTGAAGTGGCGTGGTACCGGTGATTATTGAACCGCAGCCGAAATGGCGTGTCTGTTTGGCCGATATATTCTTGTCCGCAGATGTTGCAATGTAGCATGTATATTACGTTACTGGAGTCACAATTAAGGCTTTCAGTTATGCAGAATTTGAAATCCGAGAAGTTCGCTTTGGATTCACGTGTTGTGAGCATCTGTGGGCATACCTTGCATCGAGATTTTCCGCAGGGATGGCACCCTGATTGAATTTTGGGGGTGTTTGTTTTTTGCCCTGACAAGAATGTCCTTCAGATTTTTATCCCGGCGGTACACCACGTGAGGTGGCTTCGCGAAAATAGAAGTTAGTCGTTTGCTTTGCCTGATTATGTTGAAATGGCGGGAAAGTATGTTGTTGATTCGTGGCGCTGATGAGGAGTAAGTTAGTACAAGGTTCGTTTGGGAAGTCGTTTTAGGTACTTTGTTTGGTCCCTTAATTATATCATTCCTGTTCACGTTACGAGCACGTAGTATGGCATCGTCAATAATGTCTTCCGGATAATTTTGTTTCAATAAGGAATGCTTTAGGTGTTCCGCGTGTCTGTCAAATTCCGGCATATCGGTGCATATTCTTCGGTACCGGTAGGCCTGAGAATATGGAATACCCGTTTTGCAATGCTTTGGGTGGCTGCTGTTGAAATGTAGGTACATTTGACGGTCTGTAGGCTTTTTGTAAAGGTTTGTTGACAAGCGGTCATTTTCGACCGTGACAGTAACGTCCAAAAAGTTAATGCTAGTTTTGGAAATTTTGTGCGTGAATTTTATTGATGGGTGGCATTTGTTAAAATCCTCTATGAAGCGGAAAAGACTTCCCT